CGCGACGGCTGTTCTCGTTGAAGCGGATGCACCGGAAGGCCTGACCCTTCATCGGCTTCTCGGGGAACCAATGGTTACGGAACTTCTCCTCTAATAATTGGCATAACTTTCGACTAAACGAGTCTATCGTCTCCCGGGTTATCACATCCGACGACTCGTTGCTTTTGGCGATGAGTCGCGTCAGGAAAGTGACCGCACTTTCGATCTCTTCTAACATCACTGCTTCCGATGATTATCAACCAAATGGTTGCTATTTATATGATAATTATATAACCTATTGATGCGATGATCCGTTATCAACATCAGAGACACCGCCGATTGGGGCACGACTTGGCGGACAGTGGGGGTAACCAGTGGTCAACAACACGTGTCAAACAGTGGTATCGACGCTATTATCGGCACAACGGATCAACTCTTCGTCGTGTGTTTGGCTCAACACCTGAAGACTTATTTATTATGTAATCAATGGGCGAATGAACGGTAGGTTTGATGGGATATATATCTGTCGGGAGAGAAACCAATGAACACGTGAGCGGACAGTCGTATCACACAATTCACACACAAATCAAATGAACAGTAATTGTGGTAAATATGAGACTAATTATGCGTTTGAATGGAGAAAGACCTGAAAAAATGGCAGAAATATTCAGCAAAAAATGCGTATAAAAAGCCATTATATTCGCTAAACACCACTATTTCCTGTGGAGTGCTGCCATTCGCAGGCCGTACACGACGTCTACAAAACGCACGCATAGACCGTACGAGCGATTGAGCCCAACCTATAAGCCTAACGCATAGCCCTATACACACTAATGGCTATTATGCGCTGTTTATGGCATAAAAGGCTATAGCACTGGATCCTGTGCCACATTTACAACCATTTCATCTGATTCTCATCACCGTAATGGTGGCCACGGTCAGACACTTACCCTATGATCACAATCCGTGTCAATTGAATATGAATGGCGAGTATATAACAAACAAATGGTATATAAATATGAGTGTGAAATGAGTCACAAATACAACGGATAGTAATGCTATGAAATACTGTGTGTTATTGTAATGCCTTTACAACTGTTTTCATATACGTATTGCCAGTTAATACAGTCATACAGTGTGTGGTGCACTCACTGTACGCAAGGGGTCGCCTACGCTATCCAATAGCGCACTCAATACGAGTGTACCGTAAACTGAATCGAGTCTACGTGACCCTCAGCATATCGATTAAGGGATTAGGCATTTTGCACATACATTAGCACTGTTAATCCCATGTCCACTACCTGGATGACCACTGCCCGGGCACTCTACACATTTAATAAGCATGTCTGCAATCAATCGCTTTGCGTTCACTAGTGTTAGGTCTCATTGCATAAGTTCCCACCTGTTTGTGCAACACTATAGCCCGTATTCATTTAACCAAGTTCATTGCAACTATCTTACAGTAGACTAATTCAAGGTCTAACTAATATAATAGTTCACAAAATAAAATGTATATTACATAACAATTTTATACACTTTAAAAAGTCATGCAGAATATTCTTGAAGGGGTTCAGAAAAGTACAATATATTTGTGTGACCCCCTAATGTCAACGAACTATTGCTCACAAACAACGTGCTGTCAAATAAAGTAAAAGTTGCAAAAACAATAGATTTTTACAACTAATATTGTAATTAACCATAGATTAGTAGTTTATGAATTAAAATTAATTAATTTGCTATGAATTTGTGGATAATTTAGTGAAATAAATCTATAAAAACTAAATAAAACGTTGTGTGTATCGTATTGTTTACGCGGAGTACAGTTGGTATACAACTATTGTAGACAAATGTAAGCCAAAGTCTACGGACTGCGTGAACAGAAAGCTCGTGACAAATTGCATCACAACATAATGTTTTGAACATTTCATTTCCATTGACTCAATGACTCAATGACTCAATGAGTGAATGAATGCATTGAACGCAGCGTTCAATACATAGTGAGAGACAAACAAATAGTCGACCGAAAGGTATGCCATATATTGAGCGCCAAATCGTTTCGCCACTCATTTAACTGATCCGAAGATCAAATGGTGATCCGCGTGTCTGTCCACTCAACCCATACACCACTCATTCAGTTGACTATCACTCAATTCATGGCACATGTGATGCACTCAATAACTGACAATCAGATCCAGTGAGACCTCTGAGAGTGAATAACACGTGTTATTAGACATCGTTTTGTGTGAAACTCGTGAGTTGTCTGAAGTGATAGTTCTCGGAGACAATGCCAAAGTCGACGTCATCTGAGGCGTCGTCCATCGACTCCGACGACTACAAGAAGAAGAAGAAGGGTTCGGACGACGGCGAGAAAGAGTACGACAGCGATGGCAACGAGTTGTATGTCGTGGAGGAGATCCGCGACAAGAAGAAGATGTTTGACCACAAGACGCGTCGGGAGGTGTGGTTCTATCACCTGAAGTGGAAGGGCTATAGCGAGCGGGAGATGACTTGGGAGCCCCGGGAGAACATGGATTGTCCCGATCTGTTGAACGCCTTCGAGAAGCGCTGGCAGGAGAAGAAGGAGAGACATAAGCAGAGGGCGAGGGATGAGGAGAAACGGAGGGCTGATAAGCACCTGAAGAGAGACAAAGACCGGCACTCGTCGGCCCATAAGTCGTTTGACTCGGATTACGACAAAGAGCTAAACAAACCGTCGGCGAGTGGCCTCTCGAAGGATGACATCAAGCGCTCCGAAAAGGTATGGGTTTTGCGGTGAGATTTGGTGCCGAGTTTTGTCTCAATTTCGTTGATGTGTTTGATGTGACAGAAGGGGAAGAAGCGTTCGTACGATTCGGGCAGCGATTCAGATGACGACAGGCGTAAGAAACAGAAACCGGCGCCGAAGAGCGCGAAGAAGAAGCCGAAAGACTCGGACTTCGATTCGGATGACGATAAGAAGCGCAAGAAGAAGAAGGAGGAGAAGAAGCCCAAGAAGAAGGACAGCTCCGACTCAGACTCGGAGTCGGACTCGAGAAAGAAGTCCAAAAAGCCTGAAGAAGACGAGGAGACGAAGAAGATTATGTCGAGACCGGGGCCTAAGAGAGCCAAAGAGGCGCGCCTTCAGAAGCTGAAAGAGTCGGCACAGAAGCCGAAACCCAAACCCGATTCGGAAGACGAGAGCAAAGACTCGGATTCAAAGGCAATGAAAAAGAAGTTGAAAGACGACTCCGATTCAGATAATGAAAGCAAGTCTAAGGCGAAGGACAAGGGATCCGATTCTGACGTTGAGGTCAAGAAGATTATGTCGAAACCGGGACCAAAGCGCGCGAAAGAGGCGAGGCTTCAGAAACTAAAGCAGTCGTCGTTTGACGAGAAAGAGAAGGAGAAGACCAAAGAGAAGCCAAAAGATGTCGATTCGGACGACGAGTTCAAGAGTAAGAAGAGGAAGGAATACGAATCGGATCTCTCGGACGACGAGAAGACATCGAAAGTGTCTAAAAGTAAAGATGAGGACAAAGAGGACGTCGAAGAGATTGACGAGACGGTGAAGAAGATTATGTCTAAACCGGGACCCAAAAGAGCCAAAGAGGCGAGACTTGAGAAACTGAAGGCAACGCCAAAGACAACGACTCCATCGAAAGATGACGTCGATCCCGAAGACAATGACTCGAATGAATCAAATGACAAGAAGTCGTCCTCTTCTTGGAATACAACGGATTCTAATGAAGACAAGAGAAAAGAAGACAAAACGAAGACTAAGGATAAGGATAAAGAAGAAGAAGACGACGAGAAGGAGGACAAGAAGTCAGAAAGCAGTGCTAATAAGTCATTGAGTGATAGGCTAACCAAAGCAGTGATAAAACCGGGACCGAAGAGTCGAAAAGAGGCTCAGATGGCGAAACTGAACCAAAGCTCGAGTGAAGCGAATGACAAGAAAAGTGACGACAAGTCAGACAAATCAGACGACGAAAGCGAGTCCAAGAAGTCGAAGGACTCGTCGGAAAGTGTGAGCAAAAGTCCGTCGAAGACTAATATCGATGAGCAGCGGAAGACTATCCTCTCGAGACCGGGTCCCAAACGGGCCAAAGAGGCGCGTCTCAAGCAGTTGAATGACTCGCTCCAGAATAGTGTGGCGGAAGTGGACAGCAATTCCAGTGTCTCTAACGATGAACCCAAACGAACCAATGGCATGGATAAGAGGGCCAACAGTACGGACTCGTTGGACGCCATCATCGGTACGCCGGCGCCCGAAGAGGAGTCGCTGGAAATGGAGCAGCAATTGGTGGCCGAGATTGAGTCGCCCAAAGAGCCGCTCACGAACGGCACGAACAACACCAACAGCGACGACAGTCCGAGACCGGCGCCCGACTCGGAGACCTCACTCAGCGAGGAGCTGACGGCCGGTCTCTCGCGAATCGGTAATACCGTTGACGTCGAGAGTCGTAAGTATTTGCCGGAGATTTCTAACGCACTGTCTGTTCGCGCGGGCGATATAGAGATGAGAAAAGCGGGTCATATCGACAAACGAGTGGTGATTAAGCCGTTCAGAACCGACAGGAAAGTCGATAAAATTATATCCGTTTTTTACTGCAACGAAAAGAAGTTGTGTTTTTTGGTCAAGTATTTGGCGAACAATAAGTGCGAAATAGTCCTCTCGGATGATGTCAGTCAACAGTAAGTCATTTGTTTGACTCGTGTTTTTGTGGACTGTTTTATTGATTGTGTTTTTTGTTTGTCTTTTTTGTTATGAACAGTAATCCAAGACTTGTCATAGATTTCTATCAATCACACCTTCACTTCACATGAAAACTATGAACACATCTGAAGATATGATTCACTCATTACTCGATTCAATCGATCTCTCACTACCGGTACAAGACATCTGTTATTATGAATGAATGCATTGTTTTGTTATCGACGCCTATCATAAATAATACCATTTGTATAACTACTCAATCCACACATTAATTGAATAATCATTTTATTGTAAATTAATTTCAATGAGTGTTATGTTTTGTTTTCAATTTAAACTACAAATCGTTATATATTTTGTCACTTTCTCTGATAATTAGTTCACATTTTATACAAACACTTAAATTAGTGTTTTCATTTCAAATATCGTTTGCAAATAAATGAATCAACATTTTAATAAAGAAATTCTTATGAATACACTTTTTATTGATAGAAATAATTGATTTAAAACTTGAGTTTTTGGCGAATGGGAAATATATGACTAAATATACCGGTAATAATTGATAACTACTTCCAATCCCTTGAATACCATTCCCTTCACAATGTGTCCGAATACCAGTCCTCTCACTCCTGACTCCATATTCCCTTCACAACAACTTTCTCCACATTCATACATGTATTTCCCATAACTTATAGTTTTTTGGTGGAAGTGTTGTCTCCAGAAGTCTAATATGACATGAGATGGCAAACCATTGACAT